CTGGGTTTTACCATATTCATTTTTTCGAGAAGAGCCATCCACATATAAAATTTCTCCTTCGTGTAAAGGTTGATCAGATAAGTCTGCAACTTGCTTTTGCTGTGGTTTCAGCTAAAGCTTGACAGTCGTGAGGCTGTCCTTCCTCCTCTGTAGGGAGGAGTGTTGCTGGGTTTAATGTTGTGCATCTTTCTAATTTTAGATGTGGATGTGAGAGAAGTGTAGACATACTGTATACGCTAAGTGTCTGGCAGGTGACAGAAAATTCATGTTGCTTTGCAACAGAAGTGCTGAAACAGCATGTGGTACTTTTAATGTTAAAGGATGAAACAGAACTATGTCTACACTTGCCGTCACTGCCAGTGATGCAGCAATTACTGCTCGAACACAGTGCGGTTGGGCACATGCAACTGGATCTAATTTAGATGAGTAGTAGGCGACAGGTTTGTTTTTGTCACCATGTTTCTGCGTCAAGACTGAAGTCATAAAATTTTGTTTGCAATCTACCATTTGTATGAACTCTTTTGAATAGTCTGGTAGTGCCAGGGTGGAGCTGCTCACCAGGGTTTGTTTTATCTTGCAGAATGCTTCTTCAGTCCACTGTACTTTATCAGTTATTTTTAAATCAGTTTTATACATTAGTGAGCTTAAAGGTGTTGTTATATCTGCATAATTTGGAATCCAACTCCTGCAGTAGTTTGGTGATTCGAGAAATGACATCATCTGTTTCTTTGTCTGTGGTTTTGGTGCTTGTAAAACTGCTGCTTTTCTTTCTGGGACAATGGTTCTTCCTCCTACACTCAGCTGATGTCCCAGATATTTAACTTGTTGTTTGCACATTTGAAGCTTGTTTTTACTGACTTTATGACCTTCCTCATAGAGATGTTTCAGAAYGGCGATTGTGTCTGTTTTACATTGCTCATATGTCTCAGAGGCCAGTAGAATGTCATCAACATAGAGCAGGACCTGACTTCCCTGCGGGGGAAGGACTTTTGCCAGACTGTTGGACATTACTTGAGAATATATGGTGGGATTTTCACAATATCCTTGAGGGAGTCTAGTAAATGTCAACCTTTTTTGTCCATAAGTGAATGCAAACCAGAACTGACTGTCTTTGTGAACAGGTACTGAGAAAAAGGCATTACTAATGTCCACTACAGTGAAATATGTTGCTTTTGGGTTGAGTGAGTTCAGAAGCGTGTGTGGATCTGGGACGCAGGGGGCTCTCTGAATGACTGCATTATTTACTGCCTGGAGATCCTGTACCATCCACCATCCTTGGGATGGTGGGGCCTTTTTTACTGGAAAAATGGGAGTGTTACATGGCGAATCTTGACATTCTGTGATCACTCTTGCTTTAAGCAAATCTTCTATGACTGGTTTAATGCCCTCCTGTGCATCTGGTTTCAGGGGGTATTGTCTCATTCTCTGTCTATATTCTGTTTTAGGCCTAATTACCACTGGTAATGCTCCTTTTACCAATCCTACATCTGACGGTCCTTGTGACCACAACTGTTCAGGATTTTGTTTTGTGAGCAAGTTCTCTTCCTCTTCAGTCAAATAAATCTGTCAGTCATTTGCCTCTGTCATGTGTGTTGCTGCTTTTACTGGAGTTGTCCAAAACAGATTTGTTCTGTACAAACCTGTGCTTGGGCTGTAATAGGTTTTGTCTTTTACAGGCTGCCAATCTTGTGTTCTCTYTCCCTGACTCACTAGTCTGCCTAGATCTTTCCATTCTGTTCCTTTTTCTTTATATAGAGAGATATGAGGCGGACTAAATCCTTTGTGTTCCTTTTCCAAGGCAGGGGGAAGCTCTGCCAATGCTGCTGCACTACTTTTCCCATCAGAATACAGGTAAGACACTGTGATGTTAGCTGGGGTCAACTTTTCTAAGTTTTTGAAATATTGAACGTCTGGACCTGGTCTTATCATGTATTTCATTGTTACATGAAGTTCGTCTGAGGTGWGTTTGTCGTGGATTTGCTGCAGATGCTGTTTAGCTTTTCGTAAAAGTTCTTCTCCTACTTTGGTTGGAGGCTTGTTTGGAATTTCTAACGTGTAATAGTACTTAGGGGTGTTATGACCTTCTAACACTATGAGGGATTTTTTCTCTCCTAATCTTTTCACTATTATTCCATCAACTGTAGGGACAAGGGATAGGCCTAGATTTATAAGTCCATCTCGCCCTAACAGATTAACTGGACAACTGGGCATCATAAGAATGGACATTTGACATGACTTTCCACATGGATCTCTTATCCAGATGGGGCAAGATTCTGGAACTTTGCACAAATTTCCCTGTGCTGATCTTACTAAAATGGAGGTTTTGCTCTGCTGTACCCCCATTGTTGGTTGTTTGAGTGTGGTTCTACAAGCTCCACTATCACACAAGAACACTACATCCTGTCCATTTACTTTTAATGTCACATCAGGTCTTACTTTTTCTTCAAATAAAATGTCTTCCAGGTTCATCACTTCTGTCTCTGCCTCGCTCTCTTTTTCTTCAGAATAATCTGGTTCTAGTCACGCTGAACTGGAGGGGTTGTTGTGAGGATTGCTTCTACAATCTCTAGCCATGTGTCCCTCTTTTCCGCAGGACCAGCAGGCCCTGGGATTTCCCCTGGCCCTAGAAGGTCCTCCTCTCCCTCTTCCTCTACCTCTTCCTCTAATTTGTGGGTTCTGCCAGTAAACAGTGTGTTCATCCTCTTCAACCCAGAAGGTTGCTTTCTCTGTTGATTTGGAGCTCTTTTTAATTTTTGTTACTCTCTCAGCATGAACAGCATGTGTTAAGTAATCTGACAGTGTTCCATTTGGGAGTCCTATATAATGTTTAGATACCCAATGGTGTATTTGTGAGGTTGACCCTGCATGTAATGCGTTTTTTAACTGCTGTTTGTATGGGCCATTTTCCTGACCATCATCTATTAGTCTACTGTGGGCTCTGAAAACTTTAGTCATTCTGACTCTATAGTCATCAAAAGGTTCGTCATCTTTTTGTCTGCAGCGTCCTATTTCAGTATAGTCTGCTCGCTGTCGATATCTTTGTCTGACACGCTCATTTATTGCTCGGGCTCTCTGATTTAACAGAAGGCTATTTGGGGCCAGAGGTGTAGGAGGGATTTGGGTGTCGTTTGGATCATAATCGCCTATAACCAGGTGCCAGGTGGCTCCCATGATACACATCCATACCTGCTGCAACTCTATTCCATTTAGGTGATAAGAGGCTCTTAAATTGTCTACGCCTTGAATGCATTGCTCAACATCTTCTTTGGGAGGTGGTATGCCTTCACATGCTTTTTTAACATCTTCTTGGGTCCATGTTCGGTATACTAACACCTGATCTGGATAACTTCCTCCTGCACCATTGTCTTGGCCCATCATAGGGTGGGGGAGTGCTATCAGTGGACAGATCTCAAATTCACGTTCATTGTTAGTCAAAAGTTTAGGGAGGGTGGGAGAAAATACTTTCCCCATTTTTTAGACCATTTACGTTCTTCTCCATGGCTTCTAGTAATCCTTGGCATGTCTTTATAAGGGGGAGGTGCACTCGATTCTGCCATTTCCTGTTTTTCCTCATGAAGGTATGGGGGATTGTGAACTTGTTTGATTAAAACTCTGTAGGGGGAGACCACTATTTCATTATCTTCCTGCCTGTTAAACATTTGCTGTTTAGTTCGTACTTGCTCTCTTCCTTTTTCTTCACTTGCCTTATCTTCCTGCTCCTTCTGTTGTTCTGCTACTTTCCTTTTTTCTACTTTACTCTGACCTTTATCTCTCGCTCTGGCTTCTTGCAGCCACACCTCTGTGTGCTCAAAACCTTCCTTTTTCATCTGTTTAGGATCATTTTTGCATTTGGTTTTTATTGAGTGTCTCAACGCTCCTATATTGGGTTGTTTAAGTTGTCCCGTGAAATTGTGTTTAGCAATCCATTTTGGCAGATATTTGGTGGACTCTGGATATTTTCCCTGCATTGTCTTCCAGTCTTTGCATTGTAATTCATCTATTGTTTTGCTATTTGACTTCCCCATTTTAATTTAGGTCGGTCAAACTTATCGTGAAAGTCACCTGATTACTTGAATGTGAATTACTTAAAGTTACTGTAACTTGTCCTAACATTCTATCAGGTCCACTATTTGAAACTGGTTCCACATATACTACAACTTTGGTGTCGGCATTTTCTTCTATTAACTCTGATAGAGGGCGCAGTAGTATAAGGAATTCCTGAGTTCTGGAATGTGTTAAGTCTAAAGGGGGTAGCTGATCAGAAATACGTATCTCCAGTTTTAAATCTTTTGGATCCAGTGGGGGTTAGACCTAGGGTCTCTAACACTGGATATTTTCGTCTGATAACACAGTGATAATTTATCAGTGGTAGAACACCACACACTCCGGTTCTCTTACCTCTGCATCCACTGATACTCAGATTTTATATGAAATCCGATCTCCAAGTGGAGAAAGAATTTCCTTTCACACTCTCATTCACACACACACACACACACTGTTTTTTTTTAAAAGTTTTTAGAGCTCATTTACTTCACAGAATTATTTTACTCTTTTACCTTCACTGGTAATATAGCTTATTTAAAACAGGGGACTCCGCCGTCCCGCGGACTTTAACTATATAAGACAGAGGACGCCGCCGCCCTTGCGGAATTTAACTGTTTTTTATCTCTTTACTTGTAAGTGCCTAGGATTGACAAGGTTTTCACGTTTTACTCTCTATTTTAAATCACTTTCACTCCTTTTTAAGTGAAAACAGACTCGCCTGTTCGTGTGTCGATCCCTTTGGTATCTCGTCAACCATCAGGTCCCAGCTGGCGAATGAGGACTGGCCCTGGAAACAGGACTCGATGCTGTGGCCACAGACTCTTTACCAGGATCTCGTCCGTCCGCTGGAACCCTCAGGTCTCTTGAGATCTGGCTCGAAGGACCAAGTAAATGTCAGGTTTAGACACCAAACATTTGTAGAACTGAACTGTAAGGAAAGACACAGACAGAGTCAATAAAGTTTTACTTGRAAGGAGAGTGTCCGGAGACTTGCTTCAGTCACAATTCTCTCACCACACTCTGAAGCAGTCTCAGCTCTCACAGGCTTTTATTTAGTTTGGGAATGCCCTAGTTACAATAGTGTTTCAACCGCTCAAGGGTGGGATAAAAACCGGTTGAAACAGGTTTGACATATTTTCAGTGAACATTTACATTTACATTTACAGTGACATTCCGTTCCCAAGAGATAAAAACAACTCATGGTCGTGCTGCAGATACCACAGTTGCAGCGCTTGGAAAACAACTTCTCCTTCTCACGCCTTGGTTTCAGTCTAACTGCAAACATTATGAGAGCTGAGAGCACAAACAAGTTAATAAGAGAGATAACATATATAATACAACAATATAAGATTCGTATAAATATTCTAACACCTGAACAGAAGTGGAAAATTATATTTTCCCTCAGCAGTTAGCCTGGCTAACTACCTACACTCACCAGGTTGAAACAAAATCTCCTCCTGGCTACCTCAAAACAGAAAAGTCAACCTCCCTGTTTTAAAAACTCAATCTGGAATAAAAACGCTCCCAGGATCTACCTCAGCTAAGAGTCACAGCAACCGCTGAACGCAAACCAGACAGGCGCCTAACAATCAGATTTTTTAGAGTGTGGTGGACCGAAGATAGCCGTAGCTTTTTTTTTTTCTAAAATGTAATGAAAATATTAGCTCACCGTGTTTCTGTCACAGACAGGTTCTTTCCAGCTCCAGTCCCAAAGTCACCCACAGTGGCCGAATCTAAGGACAAATCCCAGCCTGGACACGTTCAGTAGAGGGAAAAAACTTTTTTTTAAAGAAATTTCTTCCTCTTGTCCAGCGTTCGTCCGAACCCCCGGCCGCATCGGGTAGCTCCGGTCCTTGGAGCCACCTTTCAGACAACGCCAAAAATCTGTTGTGGCAAGTTTATCAAGAATGCAGAAACACGTTGGAATAAATGCACAGAAAGTCTGCGTGTATGGTAGTCAAATGATTTAATTCTTGAGCAACAAACAAACAGGTCAATCAGGAAGTCCGTCGGGTTTGTGGCTGCCTCGTCAGCAGAAACAGCCAATAATATAATATCGTTAACACCATGTGACAGTTTTCAACCAATCACAATCCGACAAATATAACTGCCAATAACCAATAACAGGGCTCTCAGCCCAAAGAGTTAACTTATCAACCAAGAGAGGTCAATCCGTTGCTGGAGTCCTGACGTCTGGGGCAAACAGATTAAGAGCCGAAAGAAGTTATCATAAGATACATGAGTACTGGACAGCGTCAAGGTGAAACAGATAAATAATTAGTCCATAACAGTGTTTAAGTGGAAGTGTGTTTTAGTTTAATTATCTTGCATCTAATTAAAGAGGAGGGGGAGAGGAAACATCTGTTTTGCCTCAGAAAAATAAGATTGTCACACATTTAACTATTAAAATCAAGTCCTAAATTTTCTAAAGTGATTAAACATATATAAAAAACAAAACACATATTGCTTAAATCATGAAATATATGAACATCGTCAGGAGGCCATCTTAAACAATTAAACACAATACACAGCTGTACAACTAAAATGTATGAATAGTTAATTAAACAAAAATGTGGTGAATCTTTTTAATGGCTTTTGGTCCTTTCTGTAAGAAAAATGGATTAAATGAGATTTCTTGCATTAAGACATATGAAAACAGGAAACATTTCATACACAAACATTCCTTCATCTTTTTTTTTCACATTTAATGGAGAATGCAGTCCTTTGATCTCAGTCAAGCTGAGGGGAGTCTGGTGGGAGTCAACGGAATTCACGATCCTTTTGAAGAGACAACAGTCTTTAAAATCGAACAGACTTGTGGGTGTTTCGGAAACAGGACAGGAACTAATTTCAATAAGGAGGTGACACTTCTGTCAGATTTCTTGTTGGGACGTAGCCGCAAAGTCTGATTTCTTCTCTGAGCACACTGATAAGCACACACATTGCCTGTGGCAGTAAAAGTTCAATAGAGTGGGGTTTCTCTTCTTTGAGCGTTGCAATGGAGATGGTTAAGAATCTGATCAGAAATGATAGTTTCACAGCAGGGAGGGCCTTCAAACCTAACAGAACAAGTCATACAGTCAAACGTTTACATACATGTTCTTAGTATTTGGTATCATTGCCTTTAGAATGAATGACTTGAGTCTAAGTTTTGTGTATCCTTCCACAAGTTTCTGTCAGTAGTTTGCTGGAATTTTGTCTCGTCCTCCCTGACAGAACAGGACAAACTGACTCAGGTTTGTAGGTTGCTCTTTTCGGTTCAGACCATTACTTCGGTGTTCCTACACACCCAAGGATGAACCAGATTTGTGCAGGTCAACAGTTTTCTTTCTGATATCTGGAATGATCTCTTTTGATTGTTCCTGGGGTCTCACACAAAGAAAATGTTTAGGGTCAGCCTTAAAATGTGTCCACAGGTGTGTCTGTAATCACTCCAATGCTGTCAACTAAAATATTAAAGTTCCCAGATCCATGGCATCATCATCATCATCATCATCTGGACTTTCCCAACTTGTTAAAAAGCAACATAGTCTTAGTTTGTTTGAAGTGTGTGTAAAGACAAACTGATGTTTCCTCTTGTGTGGTTTCAACTTAGGAGTCATATGAGTGCTTTTTTAGTGTGGATTCTCATGTGATTGTTTAAACTAATCTTTGTGGTAAACCTTCCATCACACAGCTCACAACAAAATGGTTTCTCTCCTGTATGGATTCTCATGTGTTTATTTAAATCACTCCTTGTGGTAAACCTTCGCCCACACAGCTCACAACAGTATGGCTTCTGTCCTGTGTGGATTCTCATGTGTTTGTTTAAATCACTCTTTGCGGTAAACCTTCGCCCACACAGCTCACAACAGAATGGCTTCTGTCCTGTGTGGATTCTCATGTGAGAGTTTAAATGGCTCTTTGTGGTAAACCTCTGATCACACAGCTCACAACAAAATGGCTTCTCTCCTGTGTGGATTCTCATGTGAGAGTTTAAATTGCTCTTTTGGGTAAACCTTTGATCACACATCTCACAACAAAAAGGTTTCTGTCCTGTGTGGATTCTCATGTGTGTGTCTAAATGGCTCTTTGTTGTAAACCTTTGATCACACAGCTCACAACAAAATGGCTTCTGTCCTGTGTGGATTCTCATGTGTGTGTTTAAATGGCTCTTTCTGGTAAACGTTCTCCCACACAGCTCACAACATAACAGCTTCTGTTCATTGCTGTTGATTTTAACACCTGATTCAGGAACCCTGCTGGGAGAAGACTCACAGTCTTTATCAGG